CCAGAAAGTATTATTTATTCGTCGAAAATCACAGCAAAAATAGCACACTTTGGGTTTGTCTAAATCATCCAGACGGACCACACTACATAAAGCCAGCGATTACTGAGTGCACGGTAAGTCCCCAAGTCGTATCACATATTAGTACCTAACCCTACGATTGCACTCTCTAGTCCAGATCCCGACCTCCGGCTACTCCTCGTCGTCAGCGTCGTCAGCATCGCCGGTATCCTGAACCGCGACGACAGGAGAGCCAAAAGCCACGGGGAGGTTGCTATAGACCAGGGGGGAACCGGGACTCACGTGCAGTGTGCTGCCCGCGGCGGTTGTACCGGCAGTGTATGGAAGGGTGCTATAGACGAGGGGTGTCCCTGGGCTGAGGTGCGGGTGCCTTCCGACCACGGGGGTGCCGGGGCCCACGGGGAGGTTTGTGCCGGCCACGCGGAAGCCGTTCGAGTCGGCCACATAGTGTTGGGTCTGAACCTGGCCATTTGGGTCCACGTAGCTGAAGGCGCCTCGCACGGTCCCGGCCGCGTCACGGGTCTCGGCGCGAGAGGACTGGCTGTTGTAATAGCCGAAGGAGTACTGACCGAGCTCGTCTTGGGCGTGGTACTGGGACTGCACTCCAGGGACTGCGACTGCAGGCGCTGCATTCAGGGTGACAGGTGCAGCGGCTGCTACAGGGAGAGGAGCTGGCTCTGCAGCTGCAATCCTAACATGGGCTGGTGCAGCAGCTGCATAAGTGACTTGGGCAGGGGCAGCAGCTGCTACAGTAATAGGAGCAGGTGCAGCAGCCGCATAAGTGACTTGGGCAGGGGCAGCAGCTGCTACAGTAATAGGAGCAGGTGCAGCAGCTGCATAAGTGACTTGGGCAGGGGCAGCAGCTGCTACAGTAAGAGGAGCAGGTGCAGCAGCTGCATAAGTGACTTGAGCAGGCGCAGCAGCTGCTACAGTGAGAGGGGCATGAACCGAAGGTACGGCTTGAACAACAGGGGCAGGGACGGCACCCTCGATATTGACAGGTGTGGGCGCTGCTACACTGTAAGTGACGGGCGCTGGAGCCACAGCCTGGAAAGTTGCAGGAACGGAAGTCCTGAAGCTGACAGTTTGTGTATCTTCGTCCTTATCTTCATCAGGTGTTTCTGCCTTGTAAATGACAGGTGCGATAGGTGCAATACTGACAGGTGTAGGGGCCAGGTTTTGGACAACCTTGGGATCTCCGATCTTGAGACTGTCAGACGTAGCTTTGAGCACGATGGGTCCGAAGCCCGCAGCGCCGGCAGACGTGGGAACAGCCACCTTCAGCGTAACGGGTGTTTGGGCTGGTGACTGAAGCAAGACTTGGTTGTTTGCCAGCGAGTTGAAGTATACAGGTAAGGACGACACATGCTTGAGTGTGACCTGAGTCGGCACATGGCTTTGCAGAGTGACGGGCGTAGCGACGGCGCCATGGTGGGCGACAGTCCCTTGCGGCGCAGACTGTATGAACGTCTGCCAGATGCCCGGTGAGGAGCGCGCGTGGCCGTACCGAAGGAGGCTCGGGTGTTTGGTGAACAGGCCGTGGTAGAGACCGGGGAAGGCGCCGAAGATGCCGGGCAAGGTAGGCACCTGGCCGGAGCAGCTGGCCGCGACGGCCGCAAGGCAGAGCACCGTCTGAAGTGCAAACAGTAGACGATCAAAGAACAAAAGAAATAACACCCAGAATAAAGGAAAAAAAGAAACGTTATTTTTCACCAAATGAATGACAGTAGAAGGTTTCGAAGATCATCGCGAAACAGAAACAAACCTCTCCGAAAAAAATGAAACGAATCCAGGCTTACCAGAAAATTCATGCCGACTGCATCGAGGAAGCAATCTGTGCTTGCAGGCTGAGGATGTCCTTTATATACCCGAGGTCAAGCAAGCAGGGGCGGGGTTTATATTGCATCTCTTAGGCTGGACGTCCTTGCTGAACTGCTCTTGTATTACTCAACTTGGATCTTGTTTGGGAGGGAACTTCTTCAGGATGACTTACGTTTGTCGCTAACACCATGGGAACTCAAATAAAACACAGAAAAAGAACGGATAAAACACGCATACCCCCCGAAAAAAATACAAGGTAAACAACTCCTTTCATTTGATTCATCAGAGGAAATATAGTACATGGAATCGATGAATTTAAGTTAAAAAAAGAAGCACTGAATGCAAAATCGTTGGGGGAAAAATCACAATAAAATGCATTATGATAACCAAGACTGTCATATTAGGTTTATCCATTTTTCATAACTCGTCTACAAAAAATAATGTTAAAGGGATTATAGTTGACTTTGTCTCCAAGACTTCGTAAACACATAGCAAATGCCAAATAAGATTTGCTTATTTTTCTCTTTCTCATCTTTCTCTTTTTCTTCTTTCGTTTCTCTTTTCTTTCTTTCGTTCCTCTTCTTACCGTTCAGTTTTTCTTCATTATTATTGACGTTATTTCCTCTTCTCTTCTTTGTGTTTTTTCTTTCTTTCTTTCTTT